CATACATACATACATACATACATACTCGTTTAAGGCTAATATATATGTTTATATGTCCGTTAACACTGTGATCCCCAGACACATGCACATCACATTTCCCCAGTGAGGCGCTTTATGGATTGACGTGACATGGTGCCACTCTCCAAACCCTGCGACTATTCGCATATCATATTCACACGCCCACGAGCACTAAGTCCCGTTCTCCCTAAGAAATACAATCCACGGGTCAGAGCCGAATACCACTGTGCGCCTGAAGGCAAGGTTGGGCTTACCTGTATATCCACACGTCCGCAAACACCTTGAGCTCCTGACCAGAGGCTTTCTTGACCAATCGGAGGAAGGCGTGTGTTGAAATACTCAGCACAGACCCTTCACCATTCTAAGTGACCAATGCCACAGCGTATGAACAAACAGCATGAGCGGAGACTCACAGGTACAGGTGTGTCAGGTAGGTATGCATGTGCTATCCAGATATATCAATTGCTGATCACAAAGAATGTATGGCGGTAAACGTTGTCTACTGTAGCAACATCTCATGTGGCGAGTGGACAGAGCATGCGTCTGCCTCGTACCATAAGGGTAGGTAAGGGTAGGGAAGGGTAGGTAAAGGTAGGTAAGGGTAGATATAGGTAAGGGTAGGTATAGGTAAGGGTAGGTATAGGTAAGGGTAGGTATAGGTAAGGGTAGGTATAGGTAAGGGTAGGTATAGGTAAGGGTAGGTATAGGTAAGGGTAGGTATAGGTAAGGGTAGGTATAGGTAAGGGTAGGTATAGGTAAGGGTAGGTATAGGTAAGGGTAGGTATAGGTAAGGGTAGGTATAGGTAAGGGTAGGTATAGGTAAGGGTAGGTATAGGTAAGGGTAAGTATAGGTAAGGGCAGGTGTAGGCAAGGGTAGGTATAGGTAGGTGTAGGTATCAGCCTGTTGTATTAAAGGGGGCCACTAAGACGGCGCTTTTTGACTGGGACCGGACCAGTGTGGTGTGAAGCGGAAAGCGGATACTGTCACTGTGAGTTCACAAAGTGCATGGCGGCCCAGCGAAGACTGAGATATCTCATAGACGAAAAGTATGCAAGCGGTGATATTCCTGCACGCTTACAATGAGTGTTGTGCCTTGTTTAGGGTTTATAGGGATTAGGGTTTAGGGTATGTGTGCGGTGGTAATGCTGCACGCCTACAATTGGTGTTGTGCGTTGCTCAGAGTTTTTAAAGTATAGGGTTTAAGGTGTAAGGTTTAGGGTATGTGTGCGGTGGTAATGCTGCACGCTTACCATGAGTGTTGTGCGTTGCTTAGAGTGTTTAAGGTTTCGGGCTTAAGGTGTAGGGTATAGGGTGTGTTTGCGGTGGTAATCCTGCACGCTCTTGTGTCCGTCTACAGTGATAAATGGGCGTTGGCATGAGCTCGTGTAGAATCCCAATAGTAACTCGCATGTAAACTAATATTGACAATTCAGTGGTACATACGTAAGCGTTCCGACTATGTAGGTAGACAGTTTATCGGCCAATCGCCGCCCGAGCACCCAATTCCCCGACAGCGTGACATATTAAGGATATATCAGTCAGGTGATGTATGGTACCAGCAGATCGACGAACTCTGCTCACGTCTTAGATACACAGATTGCACGAGGTATATGTCTAGGACTATAATCATATACACATACACATACATATACACATATACATATATATATATATATATATATATAA